AAATGAAGATTTTTTATTTGAACGTTGTCGTCGAAAATATTACACTTGCTTTTGCCATTTTTTAAAGCTTTTACAAGGATTTAAATTATATAGAACTGTGTGAAGTTATTTTTTTTAACCTCCTTAACACATTTCTTGTATTTTTCAGTTTATCTTTTATTCAAGTTTAATATTCGCGAGATGTGAAAAGTTTTATTATTCCGTCATTTTCCACCATTCAAATAAATTTCGTTAATTTTTACTATTTTCATTTTTTTTTATTAAGAATAAATGTAAAATGTATATACGTTTTAACGCGATTACCTAAGTTAATAATTTAAGATCGATTCTACGAGGTCATCGGTCTAGCGAAATAAAACAGGTCGCAGGTAACGTCAAGCAATCTGTGCGCGTCTTATACTCGAAGATTGCTTTGTAACTCTCGAAGACTATGATGGATGAAGTAAAGTACGCCTATGGAAAACTTCGTCGAAATTCAAGCAAATAACCGAGATTGACTTAAAAGCTGTTCGACGCGTTGTACCTTATTCTCTTCATGAGAAAATATTTCACATCGATTGGCATCTGTTGTTAAATTGGAAACTAGAGAAATGAATTTTTTAAACATGCGGAAACGTAGTAGATTACAAAATAACAGCATATTCGGATGGTGAGATAGTAATGGAGGGAAATGATTGCAGAACACGAAGATAGAGAGTGTGTGTGTGTGTGTGTGAGAGGAGTAATCAAATTGCAAAATCATCTGCAAAATCATTTAAATAAAACACACATTCGCGAATGTCCGTGCTCTTCTCGTAATACCGTTTTCCAACGATGTAATATAAAATTGAATTAATTTAGTGAAAAACAAATCTATCAGACCGACCGGCTGGCTGGTTGGCTGGACGGTCGACCGATCAACCAACCAACCAACCAACTAACCAACCAACCAACCAACCAATCAACCGACCGACCGACCGACCGACCGACCAACAGACAGACAGACTGAACGCTTCGAAACTTGGAAACGAATGTGAGGTAAATGGATGGCAAAACTTTGTGGCCGCGCATCCGTGTAATTTCACTTTTGTATATATTTAGATACTTATATAAATACTTAGATAAATATTAATTATCTAGATATACCATATTCACATTCTGCTTTATGTACATGGTGAATCAACTCTAAGGCACAAATTAAAATGATAGAAAAATATGTTTCAAATAAAAGTTGTTTATTAACAAGGGAAGGAGTTATGTTATAAATAAAGATAAAATTTTCTCGGATCGGGAAACCCGTAAGAGATTCAAAAGTCACCGTTATTTTGCATTTTCGAATCGTAATTATTGTAACCCTTTTACAAAACAATTTCAACGGTTATATATGTCTCTTCAGATGTTTAGTAAACATCTATTTCATTTTGACACACGTTGTATACGCATACTACTATAAAAACGAACAAATATTCTAGTTCGTTCTTGATTCTACGCGGACAAGAGATGAATTTGCTTACGGATTAATTCAAAATCTCGATCGAATCTCTCTCTCTCTCTCTCTCTCTCTCTCTTTCTCTCGATCGTCGTAGTGAAATTGAAGTTCTGCTCGGTTTCACCGATATCGAAGAAGATTCAAGTTTCGGTAGGATGCAAGTAGATAGACTGACTTACGATCTAGAGAAGGAGTATGGAGAAGTATAGCAAAACGGAGCACGTAAACTATGAAGCTGCCTGCGGAAAGCGGTGTACTATCGAGGCCGAGAAGTGATCGACACCAGCTACTTGGAATATTCTTCGATATAGGTAGACACGTACTACATACGTGTATCACATAATACGATACCAGTCCAATCTTTCGGTTCGCGATTTCACCAAAGATCAAATTACCCTAAGAAGAAACACGTTCGAACGATATGTTTTTCTTTACGTGTCATTGAACAAGTAAAACACCACAAAGTACACCACACACGATCCTCAGATAAATAGTCAAAAATAATGCTATACCTATCTATGGTAATCCACGGTGTTTTATTTGATTTCGCGACATCGACGAATAGGATAGTAAAGAAAGATTATCTATACTGATTCATTTGCAAATACCGTAGAAACACGCATTCGAGTAATTTTCCTACTGGATTACTCATTTTTTCTGTTTTCTCTTTCTTCCTTTCTTTCTCAACTTTCAGCACAGAAAAATCATGGCATTCAATCGTGAAATGTACGATTCACTTCTCTCTCTCTCTCTCTCTTTTTCTCTCACGAGTTACCTTTACCACCGATTTCGCGAGCCGTACTGCACGTGGCACGGAATTAATATTTCGAAATCGTTCCCGTACATGGGCCGCAATAAATTCGACTGGAGCGATAAGAAGCTTAAAAATTTTTCATCGGCTCGCAACGGCACCCCGGATGTTTCGTTATCCTCCTCATCCCTCTTTTCTCTCTGTCTCTCTCTATTTCTCTCTGTCTCTCTCTCTCTCTCTCTCTCTCTCTCTCTCTTTATCTCTCTTTCGCTCACATTGAGCCCCCGGTTCTCGGCATTTCCATTTAAACTTTCCAGAAGGCAGATTAGCCCCGGGATCTCCGGCAACTCGAAGCTCCTTTCGTATACCCAGTCCCCGAGTCGGATGAAGAGCGTATTACTCACACTAACGTCCTTACTAGCGCAATTCCGTTCGGACGCGCAAATAAACAGAGCTTCGTCGTGACTACACAAATACTGTCGTGTCTTTTAAGCCATCGAGATATCATAAGCAAAAGGGACTCGCAAGAAGATGAAAGAAGTATTCGATCGATGCTTCTACAACTTTATATTGAATCCTCGTCTTCCTCTTACTCTTTTCCCCTTTTCCATTTTTTAATCTACCTATGTATATATTATGTATATGTTACCGTCATAGCCGGAAATCAGTCATTGCTAGTAATTCCTCGGCATTACTATGAATGCAAAGCGCCTTCAGACGAAGTCGGAAATAAGACTTTTTACAGAATTTTTCTTAGGCATCGAAAAACAACGTTCAAAAGAATCCAATTTTTGTGACTGTTGTCCTGTCGCATATTTCGATCTTTAAAATTTTCATTGAACAAAGTCCACATGATAAGGTTTTTGAAATATTATATTTTAATAGTTATGTACTTATGTATGTATAATGTAATTGTTGTAATATGTTTCTATGATTGAAATTTCAATGAGAATGATGAAATGTGTTTGATATGTTTCATTTTTATTTAATTAAAGTAACCGAATATGAATTAAATTGATTGAACAAAACTATATGAAATATTTTGATTTTTTAATTTGGTATGTATTAATCAATTAATACCTTTCAATGTTCTTTTTTATATTTCAGAATACATGACGGAACGTTGCGCGTATCCACCATGGGTTGTAGCTCCAAAATCATGGGTGGCCTTGGATCGAATAGCCTCCCGTCTATTAGCCTCGACACATAACTTGACGATTCTCGATCGAAACGAGACTCGATTAGCTTGTCATGCAATAGTGCCAATCGAGGATCACCATCATCATTATTCTTCAGCGACGCATACTTACAATCAAATGATGTTCGTCGCTAAAGCTACTCGTGACTGGTGAGTCCTAATCAAAATCAGATAAATTATATTCTTGCGAAAAAAGCAAGTTTACTACTTCTTTATGTTCATTTAAATAAAAAAAAAAAAAAAACAATAAGTGACAAATATTGTTTAACAAAAATTGTATTGATAAATAAGAAAGATAATATCGTTTTAATGAAAAGAAAAAACAAAAAAAAGAAAAAAATATTAAAACATCTAGCGTGTATATATATCTTAATGACAAAGTAAAAGTATAAGTCATAAGTCTAGTTTCATTTTCTAATTAAAATAACGTAAATATCATTTGATAACAATGTCAAAGCAAGCGATCCTTTAGTAAAAAATATACAAAGTTTAATGAATCCAGCGAATACTTCTTTCGCGTATTTTATTTCATAAAATATTCTTCTCTTCGGTTTCCTTTCCAACGTTATTATTTAATAACTTCATTTCTCTTACACATATTATATCCTTCTTTCGAGTTTGCAAACGACGTACTTTGTAAGTTGTGGTTATGTTGAATATATGATAAAACGATAATATAATATCACTGTCGACCTTTCGTATTTCTCAACAGAACACGTGTACTCACTCGCATATAAATAAATAGGATGCTGAGAGGATTACGTAGTAGTATCAAGTCTGCCGTAGACTTTCCTTTGGCTTTCTCCCAGCATCGTTCTTCGTATGCACAGTGAAATGTCAATATAGGCTTACCCAGGTACTATCATTAAAGCACTCTTGCGGCCGAGTTCACGCGAGCTAACGTGTATCGCTTTTAATCGGTCGCATATGTAGAGTACGTAAAGCGTTTCGTGTTATGCTGTTCTACGATGGTAGTAACGTTTCCGACGCTCGGACGATCAGAGGATAGGATTCCTCGTTAAAAGCCCAGGATAATAGTGTTTATGGAACGTGTTTGTGGAACTTTACCGCGAAAATATCATTTCCTCCTATTCCTGGTCGACCACGTACCACCATCTTATTTGTTTTCGACCAAATTAGATCAGAGATAATCAAAAATTCAATAATATTTGCAAATTTTATCAAATATGGAACACTTGATTTTAAAAGCTTGCCTAACCTAAACATATCTTTTTATTAATAAAACTTTGAATTAAAACGCGATCGAATCAGAAGATTTTAATATATAAGATTGAAATATTATCACAAAAATTTCAGCCGAAGTATGTGATACCTTTAATCGTTATTTATCTCTACTTTCTTTCTTTCTTTCTCTTTACTTTTTTTTTATTCTTTTGAAGGGATATAATATTTCTTTTTAAGGATTTTTTTATTTGTAAGTTTTATAAAGAGAAAGAAAAATTTTCCAAACCGAGACTTTTCGAAACTCGGGCCGCGTTTCCTGCCAAGAATACTAACAAAATTTCTGCCCTTTATCTTACTCTCCACGGCGTTTTCTTGATTATAAAAATTCCGTAGAAATCGCATCAGCGATCTTTCTCCTTATTCTATCTACGAGTATAACTGTATTACGAACACTTGTATATTGGTAGAAATCTACCTACCTATCTACTTACTATAGAACCTATGTATTACACCATATATATATATATATGCTTTTATAAAGGGTATTCTCGAAAGTGGCAGGACTATTAGTCCTCGTGAATTTACGTTTGACCGACTGGAAAGTACGACGTGGGACGCATCTTACCCCCCTATCTCTTTCTTCTAGAAAATTTATTCGTACATATATCCTCCACCTTTATCTCCAGTATCCTCTTACTCGTTTCTCTCTGAACACACATATTCCTCTATCTTTCGTATTTTTGTCTTTTTCTCTGTTGATTTCTTTCGCTCTAACCCCGTACACTCTTTTCTTTTACCATCGCATACCAAACTGTCCTTATATCGTGAAATCTTCCACCCTGATCTTTTCGCGCTTTAACATACTCGCGATTACGCGCCTACTCGCGATTTTATGAGAAAAGCACCATTTAAAGTAAAAGAAGGAAGAGAAAATGAATAGAAAAATAAAGACGGAAAGATAAAGAAAATTTTGTCCTTTTTTGTTTTTTTTTTGCCAACCGTAGAAAATGTTGATTATTCTTTTATAAATATCACGAACACACAATTCTCGTGTAAATTCGTAAAGATCTGTATCACACCACGAGGAATAAAAATAAAGAAAAGACTGTTAACACATAGGATCTTTCGATTATTGGCATAGTCGATAGTAAAATATCAAGATGGTTTAGTATAGATACGTGTGTTAGGGGAAAAGGTTAAATATACAGGATACTTGAAAGATCTCTTGGCCAAGCTGAGAAAACGTATCGCGAATCGAGTACCTTCGAGAAGGAATTCTTTTTCAATACGTTTCAACTTTCTTACGGAAATAGATCGATTGTATAAGAAAAAAAAGAGAAGAGAGAAAAAAGAGAAAAAAAAAATGAAAAAGAAAGAAAAAAAAAGAGAATAAGAAAATGGTGTCTCTTCGTTTGGTTTGGTTAGATCAAAGAAAGGATCACGATAGCAAGGCCGTCTTTAAATAAGACGTCTGACTATCCTCTTTCAAGAAGAAAATCTAAGCCACAAGCTCCTTCCTACTATTCTTTTAACCCCTCTCCCCCCCTCCCCTCCCCACAACTGTTCCTTACCCCACCACTTATTCTCCTTCTTCTCCTTTTTCCACATCCTCTTCCTTTCCTCCTCGATTCGTTGTCCTCTTTAAACTTTTTTGTCTCACGCTCTTGTCCTCCTTCTTCAACAACTTTCCCTATTCTTTCAAACTCTAAAATGAGAAACTTCTCTCTCTTCGAGATGAAACTATTTTAGAAGGATACATATACCTACTATAAGGAAGAAGCTGATTTAGTTGTGTGAAAGAGGATCGAGAGAAAGAAGACAAGCTTAGAACGTATTATTTTCAAGAATTAAAAGACTTTTTGTCATACTTTTTACTCTTGTTTTCTTTTTTTTACTGCTCTCGGTGTTAAGTATTATAGTTACAAGGACAAGGTCGAGCATTTTGACCAAGAATACAACATGTTTTTTACTCTGAATTTTTCGACATTTAAGTATTCTTGATTTTAGACAATAATAGACTCTACGTGTAAAAGTAAGTCGAAAAGAAAAAAGGAAAGTAACATTTTTCGTTCGATGCTTTGTTTTATTATTGAGAAAAATTGTATTTAAATATATAATACATTTTATATAATAATTATATAAAATTATAATTCATTTACAATAAAATAACGTTAAGCAAGAAAATTGATATCAATTTACTAGTTTAATAAATAATCCTCTCTCTCTCTCTCTCTCTCTCTCTCTCTCTCTCTCTCTCGAAAATATTTGAAAACATTGTATATGAAAAGCAAATATCTATATTATTTTCAATTTACAATAACGTTGCGAATAATTCAATGACTCATTGTATATCGTTATAAATACGTATATATTCTATAGAAAAAGGGACACACAAAGAGATAGAAAGAAAGAAAGAAAGAAAAAAAAAGAAAGAAGACTTTTATGAAAATACGCATATAAAATTCCAAAGCGATTTTATTGATTCCCGGGTGTTAATTTAAATATCGTTTCGCTTTAGAACTTGCCCCGATGGATACTTTGACCGTTATTTTATTCGGTTTGTTCAAAATAGATAGAAAGATTGAGGGAAATATTTTTTATCGGCGATAGGTTGCATTCTATCGCACACAACTTTGATGACTCTATGCGTCAAACGTTGAGTTTCGCTTTTACTAATAAAACGACCTACTTGCTTGCTTCTCTTTTATCTTTCTCTCATACTCTTTCTTTTCCTCTATCTCTCTCTTTCTCTTTCGTCCTATTTCGTCCTCTTTCTCGTTCAGCACTCTTTTTTCGTTAAAACAATCCTCCCGTCCAAACACCGATGGTCGTTGGGAAGCATCTGTTCGGACAGTTTCAAGCAGTTTCCCTACACTAAAGTAGGAAACTGTTTGAAACACCGGCGTACAAATACACGCGTGATCGGACAGAATTGCTTTCGTTAACATCGTAAGGTAAAATCTGTCTCTCGGACGATTACAATTATCGCTTTTCTTACGGACAGTTAATTTCCATAGTCTCTGTGTTACTTTTCTTCTTTTTCTTCTTCTTCTACTACTACTACCATTACTATTTTTCTTTTTTCTTTTAGTTTATTTTCTTTTTATCTTCTTCGTTATCCATAGGTTTGTCCATAGCTATTGTCATGTCCACATTTTAACGAGGCTACATCCGGTCCGACATTAACATCGGTTGAGTATTCGCAGATCGATTAAAGTGTCAGACGGTCGTAAGTATTCTTCGTGAACCTCATGAAAAATGGCTTCTCGTCACGGAAGAACCTAGCCGTATATAATAACGAACCGGGGGACGATAACCCTCGATAAATCATTTGCCGTATTTTTTTTTCTTCTTCTTCTTCTTTATATCCTTTTTTTTCTTTTATTAATTCATTTGTCCTTATCTATTTTATACTCGTCTATTTTTATTTTAAACATCCGTTACCGTAAGACGACTATATTCAGTTTCTCCTTTACACATTAAATATTTGAATAAATATTTAATTTATATATATCGGAAATAATATTAATATTTGATATTTTAAAATTTCCTTTTTATTTTTTTATTTTACATAATTTATATAATTTATGTATATGTGTGTCTAGGAAAAGTTATCTGTGTGGACTAAGAACGCATATATGCTTTTATCAATTACTTCAATCACCCTTAAGCTTGAGATTCTTTTTTCTTTTTTCCGTTTATTCAATGCAAATTTAATTATAATGTCGTAAGTGTTACTTGCTATCGATAATTATCGTCGAGATAAAATGTGTATACATAATATATTATATTTAAGAAAAGTATCGGTAGCACGAATAAGTTTACATTACATTTACTTGCACGGCAAATAAATAAGTTCTTAACTTTACCTAAAGCGTTTATCCCCTTAGTGCGTGTTGAAAGTTTTACCTCGATGGTATTCGATTATTTCGTTGAAAATTGATAGCATAGTTTATGTATAAGAA